GATGTGCTTTGTTGAACTTTGTATAAAGTGCGTTCTTGTTTTTTTTTATCGTCAAGCTAGTTGAAGCAATTTCGAAAATTGTCATAACTAAATTTGATGACTTGATGCTGGAATAAAATGGAATTCAGAGAAATGCATAACCAAAATTATATGCACAGTTTACAACCCTCGCTGTGCTCGGACGACACAAAGAAAGGAAATACTTTTGTAGTTGTAGTGACAAAAGCAATAAACAAACCATTATGCCTTGTCACTGACGACGAAAGCCGAGCATTACGAGCTACCAAGTGGATGGAAGGATGCGCCGATGCACTGCAAAAATAATTTTTATCAATTTGAAACCGCTTACAATGAAAATTGTTCGTAAGCGAGTTCGTACATATGCATGTATGTAGGTCCATATATTTAAATCGTTCAATGAAAGTTCTCGTTCCGAATCAAAGGGAATCGCTTGCCCCATGAAGCTGAGTAGCTCTCGACTATACGTAACACACGGGAGAGAATAGAGAGAAGCCCGAGATACATATCTTTTACTCATATAGGATAAAACATGACGACTTCAGGAAAGATGATGTTACCGGATAATAGATTTTTGTCTCGGTAGTTCTTAATGGAGTTCTTATTCGAGAGAAAGATTTTGCGGAATATGTACCGGCCTTAACGCGTTGACGACGCCGAGTACCGCAGACGATGGAATGATGAGCTGTATGAGCTTTACAACGGCATTGCCATAGTGCAGCGAATGGACTCCCCAATTCAATTTGATTTGCAAAAGCGAATTCATTACCGAATGCTCAAAAATTTAAAATTAAATCTCTTTGCTTTTTTTGCGGAAAATATTGGTAGACTTTTAACCTTTGTTGGTAAAAATGGTGGAAAATATAATATAGCAAAAAAGTTGGTAGATCTAGCAATAAGGTGGTGAAGTCCGTGCACTGGTCGGAACCGTAAACTTGAGTCTGGCGTCTGCTACCAGCTCTTAAAATTATTTTATATATCGAAACAGCCTCGAAGTCAATACTGCCGATGAGCTGTAGCTCTTGATTCCAGCTATCTTAAGCGTTATTATTGCCGGATATTTAACTATTGACGCGTACGTCAAAAGATCGGGTATCGCTCACATTGAATTTCGCAGAAACTGTCGGAATGGAAATGTGCAAATATATGTACATCTGTATTTATATATCTTAGTTATCAACGGGGAACGAATTTTTTAGGGTCTAAAAACCTATAAAAAGAAGGCAAAATATAATAGCGAAATAG